CCGAGTTTCGGTTAACCGCCCGGTGGGGAGGCTGCGGGCACAGTACAACCGGGCGGTCTGCGCACTCAGCGAGCGCGCGGCTCTGCCCCGACACGGGACGCCCACGGTCCGGGAGTTGGCACTCTCGGCCTGGCGCCAGGGCGGGGCTGCAGGTCCGTCCTCAAGTTGCACCTTCTGTGAGCAGCACCACAGCAGGGGGCCGCCCCTGGCCTCGGGGCGGCACAGGCCTGACCCTCCTCTGCTTTCCGGCCGTCCCTACGCCAGGTTCCTCCCTGGAGGCCAAGCGGGCGGCCACTCCTCCTAACCCAAGGGCCCCATGCATCAGGGCCTGGCGTTTCTAGACAGTTCCCCTACAGTCACCTGTTGTAATTTCTAGCATCTTGCCCCTTCAGGATAGAGGCCCGTCCAGCCAGAGGACGAGCTTTCTCCCCTCACCCTTGAGCTCTCAGGCAACACACCGAAGGCACATGGACCAAGCTGCTCCCCTGGCCCCTGCCACCCCAGCCCACCATGCCTGCCCCACCTCCCAGGCCGACAGCGCACCCCAGCTCACCAGCCTCACACTTGCTAGGTCTCACAGCTGCTGCTCTTTTGTCTTTTCTATTCATGAAAAATAAACCCTCCTCCCCTTACTGCCAGCAACACAGGGCAGAGAGGACAGACCCGTGCCCCTGGCTTCTCCCCTCCACCCGTAAGGAGCCCACGATTCCCCAACGAGTCGAGCTCCTCTGAAGACTCTACCAGAGAGAAACCTTTGGAACTGTCAGGAGGCTGAAAAGTCAAGGCAAGTGTGAATTCAGCACCGGCAGGTCTAGCGACCCTCTTGCACCCCTGGAGTGGACTGTCCCAGGACTGGCCAACTGGAACAGGTCCCTAGGCTTATCGCTCTGAGTCGGAGAAGGAAGAGGGCTTAGTCCATCTCCACACCAGCATGTCTTCTCCAGCCACGCGGTGGGATTCCGTCTGGATCCGGGACTCGTTGGAGGCCAGGAACTCCACGGCTCGGTCCCAGACTCGCTTCATGCGCCTTCTGCAATGAACAAGAGGGCTGGGCTCAGAAGCGAGGGGCATCCTGGGCAGCTCTGCCAGGCACTGCCGAGGGGTGAGCCCTTCCCACAGCAGAGAAGGTCCAGCAGGGGTTTGTCCAGGGGAGGAGAAGCTGGCAGGTACTAATACGACCTGCAGAGGAGAAAAGCCTTGGGCCACAAGGAAGTGATTCCTTGACCTCTACTCCAAAAGCACTCAATCATAGGGGCTCACAGGGGTGAGGTTATCTGGGTGTGTAGGGCTGTGACTCCTGCTGGGACCTGTTGCCAGCAGCAGCTCTCATTGGGCCAGCCTCCCCCACCCGTGCTGGCTGCATCTTAATGCTCCATATGGCTAATTAGAGAGCAGCCCCTGGGCTGTTGGTCTACACTCCACTGCACTTCAGGGCACCGGGATTAGCTAAGCATCAGACCCGGGAGACTGGGAAGCTGGCGCGCTCCAGGCAACCACAGCCACAAGGGAGGCCCTTCCACTGGCCAGTGTTGCTGCTCTGCTGGGTGCCTTGGACCTTGCACCTTTGACAACCTCCCCAGCCCCCACCCTCTTCCTCCACTTCTGGCAGGATGGGAAGGTCCCAGGGCTGCTGGGGAGGGCTGCTCTGACCTTTGCCCTTTGGTTAGCTGGGTATCACAGAGCTCAGCCCAGTGCAGAGTAGGGCCCCATGATACCACATGTGGAGGGTGAGTGTGTGCATGTGGGCACAGGGGGGTGCGGGTGCACAGGCTTTCTTCCCTGCCACCTGCCAACACCCCACAACCTACCCAGCAGCCTCATGGCTGGTCTGGCCTTGGCCATACTGCCTGGGGCCTGAGCTAGAGGCCCAGGTCCCTGAGGAGGCAGCCAGCCACTCCCTGCCTTTTTCCTTGAACTGGCTTTTCCAGGCTCCCTCAACTTCCACAAGCAGGCCCTGCCCACAGCTCTCCCATGAGTAGAAACTGGAATCAGCAGGACGTGGGCCTCCAGGGTTCAAATGGGTGTGGGCCTTGTGGGGCGGCCACCTGGGTGGCAGCTCTGGAAGTTCATGCAAATGCACAGGAGCTGGGGTGGTAACTGCTGCAGTCAAGCTGCGGTGCCACCTCACATCCGCATTCAAGTGAACTGTGTGCTGGGTATCATGAAAGCCCAAATCATAATAGCTGCCTCGGATAAGTGCTCACATGCTAGGCCCTGCCTCGGTGCACTTCAAGGTTACCTCCTGACATCTACCCCCTTTCCCTTAGGACCTGTCATGACCTATTATCACATATCTTCCCTGTGTATCTTGTCATTTGTCTCCTTCCCCAGAACAAATGCTCCAGTTGGACAGGGACTTTTGCTGCTTCCGCTCCTGCTGTCTCCCTGGCATGTAGTAGATGCTCACTAAGCATCTGTGGGTAGATGAATGAGTGACAGCCTCTCCTCACCACAGCCCTCTGCAAGGCAGTGGGATCACCTCCACTTTAGAAGATGAGTAAACAGTGGCTCAGAGAGGTTGAGTGAGTTGCTCATGGTCACCTGATGACTGCTGTCAGGGCCAGGAAGCGGGAGGGAGTTTGAGTACAGAAGCCTTCTGGAAGCTGGAGGATCCTGTGACTGCCTCGCAGGGACCAACAGCAAGCCCTGCTCATGGCAAGCACAGGCCTGCACTGCTGTCAAGCTGCTTCCTACATCCTGCCTGCCACCTTTACAGGGGCAGGGTGGGTAGGAGAGTTCCCAAGCACCTGTATGTTTACTTAAGTGCTCCACTCTCCTGACTCTCTTGGGCTGCACAGAGATGCCACTAGGCACGGGAGTCTGAGCACGGTTCTCAACCACCTTGTGCCTCAGTTTCCTCATCTGTAAAGTGGTGCATTCATGCTCTCACTCCCACGGGCCATGGTGAGGACCAAGTGAGCAAAAGCACCTGTGGAGATCCCCGAGCAGCACCTGGCTCCTAGCAGGTACTTGGCAGGTGTGAGCTCTCAACATCAGCCAGAGACCACAGCAGACTCTGAGTCCACACCAAGGTGGGCCCTGCTGGCTGCCTCCTGGGACTTTGCCCTTTCCCCGCTCCACCTGGTCTTGTCAGGACCACAATACACAACTCCAGCATGAGCATTCATGTGGAAGGTGCCCACATTTGTGCATGACAGGCCCTGCCACCCCGTCCCACAGAGCCCTGTGCCTGGAAGCTGACCCCGTTCACCGTCATGAAACTGCATACCTATGGGTGTGTGCGTGCGTGTGTTGAGTCGTGACTGTGCTCTGACTGTGTCTCCTTGCAGTGACTGACTTGTGAATAGACAAGTAACCAACTCAGGTCACCAAGGCCTCAAGCAGCATGTCACTGGAAGTGAATGGGAATGTTTTCTCTTGCTCATAAGAGCAATAGGAGGGCCACTTCTCCCCTGCTGGCGGTGACAAGGCAGACACTGTCCCAGCAGCTGCTGGTCACTGTCCTGCAACCACAAGGGACCCATCCTGCCCACAGCATCTGTGGGATAGGGCAGGCCCATGAGCACCAAGAAATGGGAATGGAGCCCTGACTGCTCTGGATTTCACATGCAGAAACCCATCAGACCCTTCCCTGCTCAAGCCATTGGCCGGGGTGGGGAAATCGACTACTCGGAGCTCAAAGCATCCTTGGGGTATGACCACTAATGGCGTTATCTCCAGGGACTGAGTCTAGGTCACCCTGTCATAAAGAGCCAAGCACCCTGGGGAGTGGCAGGAGGCGTGAACAGTGTCTAGTGACCCTGGGGGCTGAGTTGCCCTCCCCTGGAGGCTGACACGAGGCTCTGGGCTTCCTTTGATGGAACTCAGTGGGGTCAGCCGCTCCTCACCCCACCCCTGGTGCACCAGCCACCATGAGGACTCACCGGCTCTGAGGTGGGATCAGGGTGTCACGCACATGCAGGATGCCCACGTACGGGTAGCGCTCCATGTCCTGCTCCCAGTCCACATAATGGTCCTGCACCACGTCTGCAGGACAGAGCACATGGTCAGAGCCAGCATGTGCTGGCAGGCATCGGGTACCCTATTGCTGGTGGTCACGCACCTATGATCTTCTTCACCATCTCATACATGGCCTGTTCCTCCTCTTCCAGCTTCCGCCACCGGTATTTCAGGAGAATCAGGAGCCCCCACAAGAAAGCCAAGCCTGCGAGGGAACAAGACACTGTGAACCCCTCACATCTTCTTGGGCCATCGGGCACTCCTGGGTCTCACTGGGGACCAGACACCAGGCTGAAGGCTCCCGCCCAGGCCAAGTGTACTCTGAGTCACTACCATGTGTTGGGTACAGGAGTAAAGGATGCAGACGAGCAAGGGAGGACGGACTACTAAGTGATCATCACCCCCCAGCCCCCACCCCACGGCCCATCGCTGCAGAGGCTCCCAGCAGCCAGATCAGCTCCTCCCAAGCTCATTCTGGGGCTTTCATCTCCTGCCTCATGAGTTGAACATGATGTTTCATACATACACACATGCCAGGCCCTTTGTGTTCCCAGATGCCACTGCTGATAATGATTCCTATGCGTAACGGTGTGGGGGTGGGAGGCGCAAGCACATCAAGATGGTCTGTAATTTGTGGCTCTGGTTATCTCCAGAGAGCCAGCAGTTTCTGTGACTTGGCCTTTGGCCTTCACAGACACCCCTAGGTCTCCGCTCAGAGGCAGCCCCTGATGTCATGAGATAAGATCTGCAATTCCTTTCAGCTCAACACCTCAGGCCTCTGGGCTTTCATCGGGTATCTGTAGCTCCAAGGAGAGGTTTATTTACATTTTCCAGGGAGTAACATCCGGCCAGCCTCCCTTGCCTCCTGCTGGGGCAGCCTGCACATTGGGATCCCTGCAGAGCCCTGGAAGGGGCGAGGCCTGGCTTCCATCTGGGGAATGTGCCAGTCCCCCGCCCTGAATCAAGGACGTTTTCTAGTTATCCTCACGTTCCCGCCACCAATCTCCAAAGGTAAAGACAACCTGGGGCAGAGGCTGCCTTGTTCATCTCCTTTGTTTTATTAGACAGACCTCAGGTTCACTAGACTGAAATGAACCTCCGGGCCCGGAATTTCTACAGCTCATCACTCATGCCTAGGAGTGCGCCTGACTGCATGGAAGGGGAGGAGGCCCGAGCACTTACACCAGAAGAAGATGAGCACGTTGGTGACAGCTGTGAGCAGCGCGCGGCTGAGGCGGCAGCCAACGCCCATGCGGGGGCGGGCGGATTCCAGGCAGGCCACCTTGTCCACAGTCGTCACCAGTTCAGACTGGTCTTCTCCTTTCAGCCTGAAACAGGACACAGGGCTCTAAATTCAGGCCTCAAAGCCCCAAGGAGCTGCAGTATAAGCCCCACTTCAAACAGGAGGAGGCAAGGAGGGAGGGGACTCAAGGCCTCTACTTGCTTATAGAATAGTCTTGGTACCCTGCTTGTACTCTTTCCAGAAATTTCCCACGTTGGCTACTTAGAAAGAATAAAGCTTTAAAGACGGCAGCAGGCTGAACCCCTGCCGCTAAAGTGACGTCCCCCTCTGTCGGGTCTTTGGCAGCCTTTCTCAGCATGCAGAAGATTAAACTGTAAATTGGATTCCCACCTCCTAGCATACAGAAATGGAAATGTTTACGGAATCACTAGCTTTGCAATTGCAGAGCAAGAACTGAAAGACAGAATCCAGGAGGCCGTGCTTTTCCCCCGTGTCGAGGGGTGCGTGAGCTGTTTAAGCGTGAAGATCACGGGGCATCTGCAAGACTCACGGGGAATGGAACCCTGGGCTCTCCCAGGCCAGCCCCGGCCACAGCATCTCTGCGCTGGTCTCCGGCGAGGCAGTGTCAAGACCTGCTGGGATGTGGACGCTGGGCCTCTTCCCGCCAGGTGACCCAGGGGCAGCGGTATCATGCTCTGGAAGTTGCACACTGAAAGGCCTGCCACCAATGTGTCCCGCTTCCTCACAACCCACTCCCAGCACCGGCCATCCAAGCACTCGGCTGCCCTCCCACTGCCTTCCGTGACACGAAAGCCGTGTCATCGCTCTTCTGTGTTGGCAGCTTCATGCACGCGGAGGATGAAATCCGCATTCTCCTCTGCCGTTTCTAACACGGGAAAATCGCTCAGCTACTCAGGGTAGCTTTTTTTCTTTAAGCCAATGAATTTTAATCGTGCCATGCATCCAGTTATCAGGCTTAAGGCTGAGCTGCCCGAGGGGCTTCTGCTGGATGCACTGCTGATGGAATTAGTAATTTGTGTGGATTACAGAGGAAAAGAACAAAACCCTAGAGTGTGTTTTAATATCCAGAGCTGCAACCTGAACAGAGATCCTGACATACACTGAGCAGTGGGAGGGGCGTGTGGCGTCAGCTCCTCTAGCAGGGGATGGGTCCCGTGGGGCCGCCTGGCTGGCTGGCCTGCACCTTCCCTTGGGCTAAGCAGCCAGAGTGGACTTTTCGGCCTTGTGAAAGAGCTCACTATCTCTGCTAACAGTGCTCACCAGTGATAAAAATGAGCCGGAAACTGCCTGGTCAGAATAAAATCCAGTATTTCCTTATGCAATTTACATAGTGAGTAAAGCTGATATATAGAATCATTTCATCTACAAATGAAAATGCGCTCCAGAGGAGAGGAAGTGCAGAAAAATGCCTTCTCCAGCAAAACACACAGGGTCGGGGAAATAGAAAAGCGTGAGGCTGAGTTACTTGAAGGATGGGGAGGAGTCCCAGACTCACATCCCTGCACCTGGACCTGCATCATCTTGAAGTTGCCCTACACCGTACTCCACAAGCTTCTTCCTTCTGGAGCCGGGCTTCCAACCTCCCCCACACCTCAGCCACGATACCAGAGCTGCAGCACACCTCGTAGGAGCACGGGAGTCAGCTGACCAGCGAGGATGGGGCTGCCAGAGCCTGTGCAGGGCCACCCCCTCATACTGCCAGCCCATACTCACCAGATGCCCACGTCCTTGTTACTGCTCAGTATCCAGGTCAGTGCGGCTTCAAACTTGGCGGAGGAGCTGCTGGTCACATTCTGTGGGAGGGCGCGGGAGAAGATTAGTTCTGCGTCTGGGCGGAGCAGCTGGAACAACATTATTCTGTTGCTGGATTAAGGAAGCCCTCTCCCATGTCCTCTACATCCCCAAAGCTCCGTTCCACTAAATGCACAGCAAACTGGCAGGAAGGAAATAGGAGGCTGATGAAAGCCAAGGAAGAGGCTATAACCAGAGGAGGTGATGCGGAAGCACACAGGAAAACAATGCAGGCCTGGGACAGCCAAGGGGACACAATTCTTTCAAGGACTAAAGCATCAGGCCAGAGAGCTGGCGGCTCATCTAGGGTGGAATGAAAAGGAGAACTGGGGCTGGGGCACCATGTGGTCAGGCCTAGCTGTGTGGCCTCAGGCAAGTCCCCAACCCTCTCTGGGTCTCAGTTTCCTCATCTGTGAAATGAAAATGGAACTACATGACTCCTAAGGGTCCCTAATTCTACCCTCCTGGGACCATGCGGAAAATCAAACAGATGCTGAGCAGTCTGGATGGGAATCCTCAGGTGAGAGAACGGACAGGTTAAATGTGTGTCCTGAGAGCTGCAGACAGTGGGGAAAAGTGAACCAAAGGACAAGCAAGTGACAGCCATGTGAGGAAGGGTGGCCTACAGTGACTAGGAGCTGTGGGTTGGAGGTGAGCCTCACACATGCTGGCCCAACTTCGGGGTTGTCACCACCTTGGCTGCCTTCACTTAAGGTGGCCTAACACACCACTAAGTTAAAAAAAAAAAAAAAACAGGAAAGCCACAAAGCAAACAAAACAAAAACCCACAGGGCTTGAAAGATCAATAGGAAGCAGCCGGCCCTCCCAGGAGCGGGCCTACTTACTGCTATATATTCCTGGGCTTCTGTAACAGGAATGCATTTGCTTTTTAGCTTCTCTGGATTTCCACACTCAAAATTACCTAGGAGAAAAAAAAAACCCGCACATTCAAACACAAAGAAGAGGTAGAAAAAAAACACTCTGAAACAGCCTAAACCTGCAGCAAGAATCAAGCCATCAGCTCTAATAAGGAGCATGTGGCCCGGCGGCTGCTGGCTTCTGTGGGCATCTTCACTCTGCAGGGAGATCAAAAGCCACTTAGCTTGGATCGATTCCAGATCATTAAAACCTGACCTGCAAAGCAGTGCGGCGATTTGCATTAAATGACTAAAAAGCTGCCCAATACCAAGGTCTGTTTGCAATTGATCCCTAAAAGGATCAGACAGATAGCTTCGGAAGGTACCAGAATGGCACTATAAATAAACACAGCCTAGGAAAAAAGAAAGGCAGGGAGGCCGTGGGCCCCACAGGGATTGTAACTCATGACACAGGCAGGTGACCTGGAATGTCAGGCCCACTGTTTTGAGGGGTTCTGGGGAGAGATGTTCAGAATGGCCCAGGAGAAGGAGCGCATCTGTATGGGGCAGTGGGACCTCAGCACAGCAAGCCAAGAGCAGCTCCTGAGCACCTTGGTTGGCCGGCTCCCCCAGGATGGTGCTGGAAGCTTCCTGCTTAGTTCTGCCCTGACAGGAGCTACCTCCTCTGGGAAGCCCCCAGCCTATGGGGGGCCTCTCATTTGGCCAAATGGCTCCAGACATGGTGGCCTGCTGGGGCAGGCCCTGGGCTCATGCTCATATGCTGTGGTTTACCTGCCATGTGCTGCACCTATGGTCATCTAGACTCCCTGGAGTGGGGCCAGCACAGGGAGAGGCACACATAAGACACTTTCCACTCATGCGTGGTCCTGGGCCTGTCAAAGCCTGGGGGCTTTGGGTGGCCAGTCTCTGTATGTCTGTGTGGTGGGAGAGTGGGTTAGCTGAAGGTAATGCTACAAGACCTCGAGAATGAACTAAGGCCTGTTCTCCTCCCCCAACACAGCCCAGCCTTCTACTTCAAAGTTGATCTTGACCCTCTGGGTCCCCGGAGACCAAGTTGGCTTCTAGCGTCCTCCTGATCCCACCTGGACTGTCCCTGCCCTTGCTAGACCTGCCTGGACCACCTTGATGGCCTCTTGATTAGTTGCTTCCTGCCCCCTTTCCAATCCAAGTGTTTGTCAATAAAGCTTCAAAATGAGTTTGCTTAAATGACACTGCACCACTCAAGCTGCTGCTGAATGCACCTTCCTGGCACCTGGCTCTCAGTTCATCCCTTCCTGCTCCAAGCCTCCCTGGCCCGCACTGCCTGCAGCTGGAGCTCTGGAAGCTCAGCATCCATGGCCATCCACAGTGGGCCCAGTGACATTTCCAACTTCACTCCCTCTTTTCCTCCTTCCTTTGTGAAGCCCGGGCCTCCCATCCCTGACCTGTCACTTCCTGGCTCTCTGGCTTGCCCCTCCCCACATACATGTAACCAGCCTTACTGGGCTTCAGGCCTGGCACAGACACTGCCTCCCAGTGACACTTTCCTAACTGCTCCCAGCTGGAAGGCATTGTGCCTCCTGAACTTTCAGCCTCTGGGTTCTTATCTAATCGCATTCTGTATCACCCAGTGGTCAGGAAGGTAAGTGGCGTGTCTCTTCTACTAGGACCCAAGCATCTGGCAGGCAGGATCCTGAGCTGAGTCATCTCACATCCTGCAAGTGGCCAGCCCATAGCTGATCCCCAACAAGAGGTAGGGGAGGGGTGGGCCAGTAGAGAGCCCATACTCCTGTGTCAGTGAAAACTGTACCTTCGAGGCTGCCCCTGCCAGGCTTGTCAGAGGGCAACAGGTGCTGGTGCTGGGAACCTCGATAACATAAGCCAGGATCACATATGGAGGTGAGATGGAGGAGAAATACCTACTAGAATCGTTTCTAGCAGAGCTTCTCAACTTTAGGGTGCACACAGTCCCCTGGGGATCTTAAAATAGACTCTGATTCAGTGGGTTTGCCATGGGACCTGAGATTCTGCATTGCTAGTAAGCTCCCAGGGGATGCAGATGCTATTGGTCCTTGGAATGCAAGAGAGACATAAAGGTTTGAATTACATCCCAAGCACCTGGGCTGTGCAGAGGAATTCCCATGGTATTGTGATGTTGTGAGCAGGACCCCCAGCTCCTGCTCACTCAGCCTCTCCTCTGAGTGCTCACAGACATCTCCCTGACCACCTCTGATCTCCCACCTTCAAGAGGGAGGAGGCGGAAAAGCTGATTCCCATGAAACTGACCCTGAGGACCAAGGGCCTGGTACAAGTCCTTTCAACCTTGACTTCCCAGTGAAAGGCAGGACAAAGGCTGATCTCACAAGCCTGAGACTTGTCCTCTGACCCTACAGGTGCCTGAAGATTGAACCACTCTGTTGGCTCTTGTGCCAAGTATATTTAACAAAAGGTACAGGCCCTCCACTTTCACTTATGTTATCAGAAAGTGATCCTGAGAACCTCCTAGCTGCCAGGGGTGGAGGGAGGACATCTCTGGCCTCAGGGAACGGGCTCACCAAGTAAGAGCCTTCTGGATGAGTTTCCAGAAGGCATTTTATGGAGGTACTGAGAATGCCCTCCACTAGAGCAGTGGTTCCCATCCTATTTGGCAGCAGGGACCAGTTTCATGAAAGATAATTTTTCCACGGACTGGGGGAGTGGGGAGAGGAATCATCAGGCATTAGATTCTCATCAGATCCCTTACATGTACAGTCCACAACAGAGCTTGCACTCCTATGAGAATCTAATGCCACTGTTGATCTGACAGGAGGTAGAGCTTTGCTTTCCTGCAGTTCACCTCCTGCTGTGTGGCCCAGTTCCTAATAGGTCATGGACCAGTACCGGTCTACAACCTGAGGGCTGGGGACCCCTGCGCTAGAGGACTGTACGTGACTCATTTTGTAGAGGAAAGATACATCCAAGATTACTTGGTGAGACAGAGACAGAGGCCCTGAGAGGATTTGCCAAGGGCCTGTAGTCAGAGTGATCAGGACCAGACATGAAGCCAGGGCCCCCATGCAGACTGCCTGCTACCTGCACAGGCTAAGGTCTCTCCCCAGCCCGGCTGTCTGACACAGGTAGGCCCTCACAGTGGAGGACACAAAATCTGACGAGACCCAGGGCCTGGCCCCTCCAATGCCAACACAGGCCCCAGTGCATTAGGTGGCGGGCATTCTAGAGAAGGGAGGACATCTGCTGAAGGCCTGTGCATGTGCCAGGACCCTGGACCCCTAAAGAGGAGCAGGAACCACACACGATCTGCCCAGATGCAGGAATTACAAAAGACTTATATGAGTGAGGAGGTGGGAGGGCAAGATGCGGTGCTGAATGTGCCTTCCAGGAGATGGCCATGGGGTATCTTGGCCACGGGGTGTCTCAACCACTGGGGGCCAGTCACAGCCTGACTAATGTGCCTGACTAAGTGGGCAGCAGCCCACACCTCCAGGGCTTGAAAGGAGCCCCAGGCATCCTCGACCCACTCACCGGCTTGGATGGCCAGGAAGTTGTACAGCTCGTGCAGCAGTTCCAGCAAGGCCGCCTTCTGCTTAGCCTGACAGAACTGCAAAGACAGGGCGATCAGTCAGCGGGGAGAGGCGGGGGAGGGGGCCCATATGTCCAGTTTCACCCCCTAGTCACACAGACAAGTATTAAGTAGCAAGAAATACCTCACACTTTGACAAAACAGAAAAATCCTGCACAGGGCTGGGCCCAGAGAGAAAGCTGGGTTAACTGCCTGAGAAGGACCCTTGAAAGCAGAGGCAGAGCCAACAGCAGACACAGGGGCCAAGGGCTGCATCCCCAAGGCCACACAGCCTGGCCCCACAGTTCTCTCTATACAAAGGTCAGTGAGAGGTCTGGGACACAGGTGGCCTGGTTGTGGATGAACATGGAAGCCCAGCTTAGAGAGAAGAGCAAACACTATCAGAACTTGCAGGGCTGGAAGGATACAGGGCAGACTGCCTGTGCTGGGGTCTCCCCTTCTTTGGGTAGAACCTTGGAGCTCTCCCTCATCTGAGTGAGGGCTACAAGCGCACACCGCACACGAAACCACTCAGCAGAGGCTGACACCACCCAGAGGGACAGGAGGACAGAAGGCACCAGGCAAGGAGACGGCCTGATTAAGACAACACACCCACTCCTGGCTTGCCCTATATTTCAGCAGCACAAAGGCAGAATGAAAAACACAGAGTGTCACAGTGCTCAGCAGCTGAAAGGGAAAGAACATGTATCTGAAATTCAAATGCCCGATCTGGTTCTCGGTGAGCCTGGAGCCACACAGAGCACCAGACTTTCAGCGGGAGCCTCACCAGCGCCAGGCAGCACGTCCCAACCCAACTGCTCCCATGTCCTCCCTCCACACAGGCCAAGGGCGCCCCAGGGAATCCCAGCTCCACAAAGCCTGTGTTGAGATGGTCCAGAGCCTGCTTCTGGATGCACTTATGAAGATTCGAGGGGTTATATATATCAGATATCACATTTGAAGCCCCTCCTGGCAGGTGTTGACACTGTCTGCTCACCGAGCACATCTTGAGTGAGAGCCTGGAGGTGCCTGTCTGGGCTCACTCAAGGGCCTGCTTGTGTCCGGGTCACAGGGCCAGGGAGCAAATGTATCCTTCACTTGTGGGTCTGATACATTTAGAGATATGAAGGTCAAGGGAAGCAGGGAACCTTTTCTAATTAGGAGACAAATAAAATTAACAGCACCAGAGAAGTCTAACAGAAAGCTATTTTTTCCTGCTTTGTTTTTAGCCCTCAAATTCTACTTTCCCCTCTGGCTGCCTGTGTTTCTGGGCCACTTCCTCTGATGATCAACTACAGTTTTAATGACAGAAGACTTACTATGAATCTGTTTTTACAAAACAATTGGGAAGCAAAGATATTTGGTGGATGAATGCAATAAACGGATGTAATAAAACACCCCCAACTATGACACATCAGAAGCCAAGGAGAAACAAACCCAGCTGTTTGCGCCAGGATGCCCCTTCCTTAACATGGGTGACAGTCCATGCATCATTTCTTTCCTGGCCCCTGGGCTACCAGAGGTGTTAACCAGAGGCTCAGGAGGCCTGGCACTGCACACTTAATAATTAGACTACTAAGTCATGCCCTCTGGCAGCACAAGGCAACTCCTGGTAGAATTTATGACCTGGAAATTTACTGCCTCGTATCTTCTCCAGACTGTCACCAGAACCAGCATCCAGTTCCTCAGTAATACTGCTGTCATGATTCATGAAAGGATGAGGCCACTTGCCTTCACCAAATATTATTGTAAGGAATGTTAGAGCTTCATAAAACAAACCTAAACATAGTCTAAGGGGGCTAATTCCACTTAAGGTATGTTTCAGACAAACTTCCTATGATGGTTTAAATCAGAACAGCATTTTCAGAGCCACAGATGCGCTGCTGGACAGGAGACTGTGGAACTGAGAACCTGGTCTCCCGATGCTTACAAACTGCCAGCCCTTCCTCCAGAGGCAGCGAGCTTGAGAGGTCCTTCACCAATAGCCGGCTGCATCCCTCAGATTGACTCAGGCAGAAGATCAAAGGCCCCGATGCTACAACCCATGGGAGAGCTTCTGTAACAAGCCCAGGGTTGGATCTTGGGAGCTCAATCCTCTCTATTTCAAGTACTTCTTTACTGCCACAATTGAGACTGACACAAACATCACAGAACACCATGTGATTCTGGTACATTATAGGAAGCACTCCCTGAAAATGAACCTATTCTTTTTCTGGGGAAGTTTACCTCCTGATGGAGGCTAATATCTTCAGAAGGAATAATAAAAGCCAGAGAAACTCAAACTCACCTCATCTGTTTTTCTTTCACAGTCCACTGGCAATAATTTCACTGAGACCAAGAAAAGAAACACAGAGGAAATTAAAAGTGTGGGTTGCGAAAAAGAATACAAAAAAAGACCATTCTCAAAATTCAGGGGAGTAAAACATTACCAAGGTAAGGGAGGGAATTAGAAAGATGTCATCTAAATACTTAATGCATACAGTAAAATGTAAGGGTTTCCAAATCCTGGATTAGGAATTAAGATAGCTGGGTCTTTATCCTAACTGAAAATGATTAGCCAAAGGTTCTTGGGCAACTCAACCACTCTGAGTCTCTGTTTCCTCATCTGTAAAATGAGATCAAACAGATCTTCCCTGCTTAATTCAGGGAGTTAGGCTCAATCAAGACAAAGTATACAACAGTTTGGTAAACTGTTAACATATGTTAAACAGAGATTAATACCATGATGGGAGGAGAACTTCAGTATAAATATCAATATGAAATCGAGAGCTGTTGCCTTAAAGCAACTCAGCAGTGAGTATGAATGTGATACTATTTGACATAACTAGTGTAGTTATGATACCCGTAGTACTATGACACAGCTTAATTTCTCTAACAGATAGATACATTATTCACATAGTTGATAAACTGCTGTCATCAGGAGAAATCATTTGGGTGTCTGCACAAGTCTGTGAACCCCTTGTACACACCCAAACATCCATCAGTCACAACAGCTAAGACATAATTTAGCTTCTTCCTGTATTTTGTTGTTCTTTCTAGGTAGGGAAAGATGTGGCCTTCACTCGAGGCTGGGAACAGTATTAATCACATGCTTTGCAAAGAATATTACAAGTTAGTGGTCTACAGTGTCACTTTATACCTACATTTATAATGAAATGATTTCTATGTTGTTTCCTGTTAGAGTCCAAAGTTACCAGAGAGGCAAGTTTCCCTTTTAGGAAACACACAAATCCTCAGCTATTCAGGAGACATACTGTATCCTACAGACCACTCAATGGCATGTCTGGTCACATAACTAAGTGTGGACAGAAGGGCTGGGGGCATCCTTGAATCACAGACCCTCTCTTAACACACTCCCTGAAGGTGCTGCCAGTGATGATTACTGCCTCCAGTTTGGATCAGCTTAACCTGTCTCGCAGGCAGGGCTAGTATAATCTTCATTTGACAAATGAGGGTCCTGTGGTCCAAAGAAGTGGAGAGTGGACTTTTGGTGTTGCAAAGCTGGGACTCCAACGAGATTCCATCTGTAGGCCATCCAAACCTGAATGAAATGCCTTCACACGGGCACTCGTGTGTGAGGGAGTAAGAAGAGATCAAGAAGAGTCCAAAAGGGATGGGTGGACCTGTTAGAGGGGGTGTGGCTTTCTCTCCAGAGAGAAAACCAGAGGCTGGGGAAAGGTGCCTGCAAGTGTAGACTGCTCCCAGCTTGTGGTATAAAGGAAGATACTAGAAGGGAGGGCCGGGGCAGAAAAGGAAAAGTGAAGGCCGAAACTGCTGCAGATGCAAGAGCCCTGGCCTCACAGCTGTTAGGAGGAGAGTGGAGGTCTGGAGGTGAGAAGCCGGAGGCGGCTGGCGCAGAGAGGAGTGGGTGCTCGTCCGGCGGACCCACGCGCCCAAGGCCCTCCCCTGCGCCGGCCCGGGACGTACTGTTGTCCTCCGCCTCCTGCGGCGCCGAGGGCTTGCCCATCTTCACCCAGAGGATGCCCAGGAAGACGAG